TCTGATGGGTCGGATGAAGGGGGGAGGTGGGGAGGATGACATTACGGAGGATCATGTGCTGATGACGGCGGCGGAGGCGTTCGGAGCCGGTGTGGAGACGACCTCCACCACACTGCTGTGGACCATAGCCTTCCTCCTGCACCACCCACAGGTACACACACGCTTACATACTCTTACTATCAGATTTCTATTTAGGATCATGAGAATTGATCTTAGACATACAATATATATATATATACTGTATACACACACACACACACACCAATTAGGCATAACATTATGACCACTGACAGGTGAAGCGAGTAACACTGATTTTATATATACGTATATGTGGTATATATATATATATATATATGTATATATGTATACGTATGTATATGTATATTATATGTATATATAAATTAAAACATTATTTAGCATTTTCATATAATAATATTTAAGTGTAGGGACACCTGACAGACACACACACACAGACACACTGAAGGATTGACACTGCTTCTGTATTGTGTGTGTGTGTGTGTGTCTGTGTCTGTGTCTGTGTGTGTGTGTGTGTGTGTGTGTGTGTGTGTGCAGGTGCAGGAGTGTGTTCACTCGGAGCTGGATGAGTGTGTGGGTCAGGCTCGTGCTCCGTCTCTGAGCGATCGCTCTCATCTGCCGCTCCTGGACGCTGTTCTCTGTGAGGTGATGCGGATCCGTCCCGTCAGCCCCGTCCTCATCCCACACGTTGCTATGCAGGACACCAGGTAACCATGGCAATACTGGAGTGAAACCGGCAGGTTACCATGGCGACGAGGAGAAACCGTAATTAGAATATCAGATTCTAGCACAAGGAAACATTTCACCCCTACACCTAAACCTACGCCTTACAGGAAACTTTCTGCATTTTTAGATTTTCAAAAAAAATCTCATTCTGAATGATTTAGAAGCCTTTTGAAATACGGGGACACTCAAAATGTCCTCATAAATCACCTTCTCGTTGTAACACACACACACACACACACACAGACACACACAGATACAGACACAAACACACACAGACAGACACGCACACACAGACACACACACACACACACACACACAGACACACACAGATACAGACACAAACACACACAGACAGACACGCAGACAGACAGACACACACACACACACACACACAGACACACACAGATACAGACACAAACACACACAGACAGACACGCACACACAGACACACACACACACACACACACACAGACAATCGTTTTTTAGACAAAATCGGTGCGTCTCAAATCTGATCATCAGGATGTTTTGAGGAGCGTTTGTTTCCAGAAGCTTTACTTTCACTGTTCCTCAGCGGAGGAATGATCTTCACAAGCCTCCAGAACATCTCACATCTTCTGAGGAGCCTTTATTTCTTCATCTCAGTCATATTTTCTGTCAGTATCTGCTGTACATAGTGATGCTGGGTTTGCAGTGAGATGTCTGATTACCCATAATGCCTCTGTGCTGCAGTTTGGGGGGTCACTCTGTTCCTAAAGGAACCCGTGTGCTGGTGAACATGTGGGCGATTCACCACGACCCCAAACACTGGGACGAGCCTGAGCAATTCAGCCCCGGTAAGAAACTCATTCATTCTGCTCAGAAACCATATTTTAGCACTATAAAAGGTCTAAAATCATATCATATGCACACAGAAACTCAAAGTCTTCATGACAAACTGCCAAAATAAAGGTTCAGTTGTGAAGGAAATGTATTCCTAAAAATAAAAGTAAATGTTACATTTTTATTTGAGTAAATTGGATTAATTTAATATTTTTTGCCTTCATTTGATTACCACCTAATAATAAATTTGCATTAAATCCATACATTTTAAAACAGACAACAAGGAACTTCTGAATAGAATAAAAAATAAAATAAAACATTTAATAGGACCCTATTTTATTGTGTAAAAAAAAGAATAAATTAGACATACTTTTTAATTATTAAAATTGATTTGAACCAAAAACAACAATTTTATTTGAACCATTAAAATGGGACCCAGAACACTTAAAAGGGGAAACACAGAATTAGGGGAACATATAAAAGTATATTTTTGGGAAAATACAACAGATTTCATAGGGCCCTAAAAATTTAATATGTTGATGTTAAATTTCGTTTACAAAATACGTTTCATGACTTCTAATTAGACATGCTTTTTGATTACTAACTTTTATTTTAGCCATTTAAAACACAAACCTGAGAGATCTAAAATCAGAAAAAATGGAATCCAGTAAAACTTTAAATGGAAAAATTTAAATATAGTTGGGAAAAAATAAATCAGATTTCATAGAGCCCTACAAATTTAATTTTTATTTGACTTGATAAACAGTTGTTAAATTGTTTCATGAAAATGTCATGATTTCATTGTATTAAACATCATAAATTGGAAACTGATTACTAAAACTGAATCCAGAAAAAAAAGTAAATGTGGAAAAACTGAATTCAAAATAAATAAGTATGTAAGTAAATAAATAAATAAACAGTATAGAGAAAAATTTAAATAGAATTTGGGATAAAATAAAACTTTTGTATAACTTTAAATAAAATTGTTAAATGTCATAAGTTGCATGCTTTCAATTAATTGTGCTAAAATTGAATTTAACTAAAACATTATCCAGAAAAAAAGAAAAAAAAATCCAGAAAAATTAAAGTGGAAAAAATAAAAGTTAATTTGGGGAAAAAATTTAAATGGGTCTCATAGAACCCAGATAAAGTAAAGGATGATCAGTCTTATTGTGCATCAGTCAGACTGTAAGACTGATGAAACACGGGGCAACTTTTTGAGCAATTTTGCCGGACAACATTTTTTTTGAACAATGTTGCTTGGGCACCTTCCCATTGAGAATGGGTAACAAATTGCTATCTGGATATTTTAGATCGGTCGTGGGCCCTGTGTCTCACTTGGTTGCTCGTTGATGCCAACATTGTTCAAAAAGTTGCCCCGTGTATCATCAGCCTAAATGTTTCATGTTTCTGTATAGCTGTGTTCTGGATTATTTGAGCTGCAGATGTTTGTGAAACACACACAGCTGTAGTTTGATCTGTGAACTCCGCAGAGCGGTTCCTGGACTCGTCGGGGAGGAGAGTGACTCCGAGCAGCTTCCTGCCGTTCGGAGCCGGTCCGCGGGTCTGTGTGGGAGAATCTCTGGCCAGAATCGAGCTCTTTCTGTTCGCCAGCCGCCTCCTGCAGCGCTTCCACTTCAGCGTCCCGCCGGGGGCTTCTCTGCCCGAGCTGCAGGGACGATTCGGTGTGGTGCTCCAGCCTCAGAGCTACAGCGTCACACCTGTAGCAGCGCACTCGCTCAGACGCACCTGTAGTAGTACACTAGCTCAGACGCACCTGTAGTAGTACACTCGCTCAGACGCACCTGTGGGCAGGTGAACTGCGCGTACGGCGCTGTCGGTGGTGTTGACGCTCTGACCTCCTGCGCCGCGCGATCTGAACGTGTCGATGCGCAGGTCTTTAGATGCGATGTGAATGTCCACCTGTAGAGATGTTAAACATCATAAGACTCAACAGAACTAAACACACACACAATGCTATTAAATCGCTGGAGCGTGGCCTGACATCACGAGGCTGCGGCAGCACTATGACCGTCATGGTTCCCGTGTGAATGCGCTGCATGCGTGACGACAGACCCACTTCAGGAATCCTCTGCACTCGGTGTGTCCCGCCCTCGAACCTCAGCCAGCGGTACACAGACCCCCCGGAGATCCTCACGGCAGCATGATGGAGACCACCTGACATCACAGCAAACCATCAGCCACACTCAACACACACACTCAGAGAGGATGATGGGTAACGCAGCGTACCGTAATCTGCCGGAGTGTAATTGAAGAGCTCAAAGTCCCAGTGTTTATAGGAGATGAAGCCCTGGTACATGTCAAACATCTCTCTGGTGAACTGCTGGCAGATGTCGCCTACATCAGCACACACAGAGGCACACACACACACAGACAGACACAGATACAGACACGCACACACAGACACAGACACACACACACACACATTGTCTGGTCAGTTATCCTTGTTGGGGCTCTCCATAGGCGTAATGGTTTTTATACTGTACAAACCGTTCTATCGCCCATTACCCTAACATTACCTCTCACACAAAACTTTCTGCATTTTTAGATTTTCAAAAAACTTCATTCTATATGATTTATAAGCTTTTGTACCCGTGGGGACCACAATTTAGGTCCCCACCGTGACACG